GGAGGGAGTGTGGGGGAGGGGCATACGAACGACTGACAGTTTCTGTCCACCGCTGGCTGGATGAGTCAGCACGACGCTCGCCGTCGTCGCGCCGATGGGTGTTGAGTGCGGGGCCGCTGCCCTCTCAGCCCTGGTGACGCGAAGTTGCGCGCTGTAGCACGCTGGTGGCACGCTGTTGGCACGCGCTGGTGCTGGTGGCACGCTGGTGGCGCGCTGTTGGCACGCGCTGGTGCTAATGCTGGTGCTGATGGCACGCTGGTGGCGCGCGCTCCCTCTCCTTGAAGATGCGCGAACGCGCCCGTGCTGGTTCGCTGATAGCAGTTTCCTCCACTGCTGGATGAGCTGCGCCGGTGCGCGCTCTTTCCGCTGCTGTAGTATCTGACGCTGCGCTCGCGGGCGACAGGTCAAGTTTTTCTTCTGCTGAGTGAGCCGAGTCGCACGCGCTCTCTTTGTTGGGGTTGTTGGCGGCTCTCTGACAGCAGGTTTCCTCCACTGCTGTATAACTCAAGTCGCACGCGCTTGGTCACTGGTTTGCTGAAGTTGTTGGCGGCTGCTCGTGCTTTTCCACTGCTGGTTGAGCCACGTTGCACGTGCTTTCCTCGTGGAGATGCTCGAGCGCTCTCAGCGCTGATTCGCTGATACTTTGTTGACGGCTGGCCAAGCTTTTTCTTCAGTTGAGTGAGTTGAGTCGCACGTGCTCTCTCTGTTGAAGTGCGCGAACGCGCCCGTGCTGGTTCGCTGACAGCAGGTTTCCTCCACTGCTGTATGGCTCACTTTTGTTGATACATCGCCACTCAGCGATCATCACTACTCAGCGAGGCTCGGAGCCAGCCGCTCCATGCGACTGCTCGTCCTGTGGACGTCTTGACTCGCTGATCTGTCTTGACTCTTGACTTAACTTCACTGACTTTTGAAAATGCGGCTGACCGTTATATTCAAAGACAATTATCTCTGCGCAGTGGAAAAGGGGGGGGCGGGGTCTGTGTGTGTGAGTTCGTGTGGTTGTACAGATGGCTCCTGCGATAACGATCTGTTTGCCCTGGCGTGAAATTCCTCTCTCGCGCTCTTCGGGAGAGACAAAGGTGGTCGGGAGTACCTATCTCTTTATACTTTCGACTTTATATTTCTCAAATATCATTTGGTCCCATGTTCGCCAAGACTCGTGTTTGTAACTACGTCCTCCCGACACCCCTCTCGGGTTACCGAGGTTCGCATTGATATGATGGAGTTATTAGAAAGAAAAATAATTTTCATCCTGAGTTTAAGAGGTCCGTTTCCAGATTGTTGGAATCCATATCCCGTGGTTCTGTAAGGTTCTATAATGGAATATCGTTTAAGGTTAACACGTTATTATTAATATTATATTGCAATTTTCTTTAAAACTTTGTTTGCCTGGTTGCCGTGTGTGGGGTGGGGTGTGTCTCCTCATCAAACCCAACTGGCTTTTCCAGATGGCCCCTTGTGATAAAGGTGGTCGGGGTTGCTTGGGATATTGTTTAAACTCTTTTGTAAGTTTGCCCGTTCACCTCATTCCTTCTCGATAACCTTTGATGTGACTCGGTATTTTGTCTCCAAGCTTTGTTTTAACAGTAAAAGTATTAAAGGTGAAAATCATTTGATCGCGAATTAATTATTGGATAATAATTCACTGATGTATCTGGTGGCCTGGTCTTGATTGGAGTGAGCGCAAGGACCGCTTACTTTAGCTTATTCTTGTAATTGCATTTTAAATTTGAACCGTTGTTTTAATGACAAAGGAAAAAAATATATATGGTTTAACCCGTGGGCGTCCTCGTTTCTGGCTTGCGGAGGGCTTCCCTCTGCGTGACCTCCCTTAGGGCACATCAAACTCTTGTTCATCTGGAGATCTTCACAGATAGCTGCTAACATGCTCACCTCGAGAGTTTTATTATTTCTTTATTTTTTAATGGTCTGTTTATGATCGACATCTGGTTTTTAGTGTGCCTGGCTTACGGGTTTTATTGATTATTTTGTTTGTTTGTAAAAAAATATATATAACGCAAATATTATTGTTAATATCAATTTTAGAAAAGGCTCATATACAACAACACCCCCCTCCCAATAATAAAATATGCTCAAAATGTCCCCCCCAATATATTGCTATGAAAATATGTTTTTTAAATAATAATTGCTATGTTAATAAAAACCACAATTTGCTAAACCTTGGCCACAAAATCTGGACTTGTCTTCATATAACAATGCATAGATTTCTGTTTATATGATTGCGTTGTACTTTATGAATCCCTAATCTCTGCCATTACATACTATGAAACAAGAAAAGGTAAAAAAGAAAAAACAGAGCAATGTAATACAATACAATATTAGACATTGTATCAAATAAAACAAATTCCAACCCATGTGTTAGTGAATTTTTAAAATATTTTATGCAGGAAATGGCAGGAAATTAGTTTTCAAATTACATTTTTTTCTGGGGGGGGGGGGACCCCAGACCCCCTGGAAAATTTGGTCCCCCCCCAATGTTGACTCCATGGCTACGGCCTTGCAATGACTTGCTAATTTCTCTACCCCCCCCTCTCTCGCTATTTAAGGCCTCGACACAGAGGCGTTGCCTATGTGTGTATCTCTCTCTGTGTGTCTTTGTGTTATCTCTCTCTGTCTGTGTCTCTGTGTCTGTGTTTTGTCTCTCAAATTGAGCAATCTTTGGAAGAACGTAATCAACCAGGTGGGGTGTTGTTGACTGTTATGTTAGCCGACTTTGTGTTGTATTGCAGTACTTTCTAAGTTTTCTAGGTTTGTTTTCTCTTTCATTTGTACCTGATGATGATTGCTTGTGTTGCAATCGAAACGTCGTATGCTATTTGCACACAGCGTTGGTGTACGGTGCTTTTTCTGGAATATTTTGCTGTTTTTTCCTGGATTTTCTATTTGCACAGTCACATAGTCACTTCAAGATGTTTTCTTGTTCGTGTTTTTGTTTTTTGTTTGTTGCGGTTGCACCCGATTCAAGAGCCGAAGGGCTCACAGAGCTATACCAAATAAATGAAACTGAAAATATTATTTTATTTATTTAGTTTTTTCCCACGTGACTTTACCGAAAGAACCAAAGACTATCTTGCTTAAGTTTTAATTTCTCTTCACCTGGCTTGCTACTTTGTTACTTTGTTTTATTTTAAATATGCACAGTTTTTATTTAATTTTTTTACCAGGCCACGCCCGCGTTCAACTGCTGTACTCCTCTTGTTTTCAAAAGCGACCTGCCCACAACAACAATAACAACAAGGTGGGGCTTGTCAACAGCATGGCGGTGTTCACTCTAAACGCGTGGAGGTGTTCACTCTGGATGCGTGGAGGTGTTCACTCTGGACGCATGGCGGTGTTCACTCTGGATGCGTGGCGGTGTTAACTCTGGACACGTGGCGGTGTTCACTCTGGACACGTGGCGGGGTTCACTCTGGACGCGTTACGGTGTTCACTCAAGACGCTTGGCGGTGTTCACTCTAGACACGTGGCGGTGTTCACTCTGGAGGCGTGGCGGTGTTCACTCTACTTGGTGGAGTGAGGAAGCATTAATTCTGAGCAGGTGAAAGTGGCGAGGCGTGGGTCTGGACACACCACCACCTGTGAACCATGCCAGTGTGTGACAGTGGTGGAGCCAGTGGGGGTGTGGTGGCACGTACTTCCCCAATGGTCCGATTGAAATCCCTAATTTCGATCGGATCATTGGGGTTTATTAGTAACTAGCTTCACTACCTGGCTTCGCCTGGGACTTGGATTCTTGTCTTGGATAAATTTCAAATTTCATAATCCCTTATCTGTGTTGCGGGTTGACGCCACACACTCCATGGTCAATTCCCCCACTCCCCTAAAATACAAAAATATATTTTAATACTTTGTGCATTGTGTCCAATCTGGAAGCTACCCACATTACAAATGTCAAGTTTGTAGCATGTTTGGAAGTATGCTGAACATTTCAAACAGACACAAATTCACAATTGTGTGCAGTTGCGTATTCAGTACACGACTTCCCTGATGGCAAACACCTTCAGCGAGCGTGATGCCTATCACACGCATCGAATAAAAAGCATAGGACAAGTCCTTAGTAACAACTCCTTACTTACTAACAACTCCTTACTAACAACTCCTTACTTACTAACAACTCCTTACTAACAACTCCTTACTCACTAACAACTCCTTACTAACAACTCCTTACTTACTAACTATCATTTTTAATTTGCTGAAGGGGTTGCCCCTCCTACCTGAAAATCCTGGCTCCACCTCTGAGTGTGTGACAGGGTCAAGTTTGTATTTGCAGTAAACTCTATTAACTATATTGAGCACGGCGGTTATATCAAAACAGTTTATTTTAGTTTTCTATGGAACTCTTTGTAAGAATGGAGTCAGGAAGTTATCACAGCACACGTGCAGCTGAAGTCGGAACTGTCCATCCCAGCATTCAAGGACATCTGTGCCTGGCTTCACACCTCTAAGTTGCAATTGAACATTAATTTATGCATTTCTGCACAACACAAATTGTATTATTTTCAACACCCTTTGCTATGTCAGCTGAATTTCGCTTTCATTAATATTTCTTTTGAAGCCAGACAGCCGAAATTGTGTGCTCGGAGTTTTGGGTTAACATTCATTTTGAAGATACGAGGGCTTCCAGGCACGTTTATGACATTTGCCCTCTTATTGTGTGCCATAACAGCCCTTGTGATGAATTTGGGACACTTTTTCACTATATCATGAATATATGAATAAGTATAGACATGTAAGTCACGTGTGACTGTGTGTATGCATTCCTCTCTGCATCAATACTGACGTGTAGATGGTGTGGACATACGTTTTTTTCTGTCTGCAGCTGTCGCTTCCTCTGTTGCTTCCTCTGCAGAATTTGTCTAATGGAGCAAAGGCACTCGGCGCAGCTCGGTACAAAAAGGCAACAATGCAACCTGTGTGCATACAGCACGGATCGTACTGGAAATTTGACCTTGCACCAGAGAACTCACACAGGAGAGAAACCCTTCAAGTGCAGTGCGTGTGGGAAGGCGTTTTCAGTTTCATCTACTCTTGTAACACACCAGAGAACACACACGGGAGAGAAACCCTTCAAGTGCAATGTGTGTGGGAAGGCATTTTCAGATTCATCAAATCTTCATGTACACCAGAGAACACACACGGGAGAGAAACCCTTCAAGTGCAGTGTGTGTGGGAAGGCGTTTACACTTTCATCTACTCTTGTAACACACCAGAGAACACACACGGGAGAGAAACCTTTCAAGTGTACTGTGTGTGGGAAGGCGTTTGCACAGTCACCTACTCTTGTAAGACACCAGAGAAGACACACGGGAGAGAAACCCTTCAAGTGCAGTGTGTGTGGGAAGGCGTTTTCAGATTCATCTGCTCTTGTAGCACACCAGAGAACACACACAGGAGAGAAACCCTTCAAGTGCAGTGTGTGTGGGAAGGCGTTTACACGTTCATCAAATCTTCATGTACACCAAAGAACACACACGGGAGAGAAACCCTTCAATTGCAGTCTGTGTGGGAAGGTGTTTTCACAGTCACCACATCTTCAAAAACACAAGAAAACTCACAAGCATCAGAAGATCCACAAGGAGTGGAGTCTGAAATCAGCTTGTGAAAGTCAAAGTGCTGCAATGAGCCCATCCCTCATGAATCAAGAACTGGAAGAAAATCCCAGCTTGGACACTTTTAAAGGTATCGAGGTGAAATATGAAGAGGTGAAGGTGAAATGTGAAGAAGTGATGGTGAAGAGCGAAGGAGTGAAGGTAAAATGTGAAGATGAAGATTCAACTCCAAAATCGGACCTTCACATCGATGGAGGCAAGGTGAAGCAGGAGGAGAATTCTGACTGCGAGGCAGAGCGAGGCAACTCCCAGCAGTTTGTGGAAGTGGAGGTGTGGGTGGACTTCCTAGACAATACAAAGTCAAATATGTAGATATGTAAGGCAGAGACGATGTCGCTCCAATAGATGCACCTTTGTCACAGGCCTTCAATGACAAGAATGTGAAGTTGAACACTCAATTCCTAGGTGCAACCTGCAGGGTAAGAGCAGCCAGTCTTTGTGGACCTGTGGGTTGCGTAGATCTCAAACCAGTAGCGAGAGCCAATAAGCTCCCAAGCATTCACTGTTCTAATAATTGCATTTATATGGTGCTTGCTTAATCGCCTCTGGCAATTCGGAGTTTATTTATCGTATCTCGTCTCAAACACTCGAAGAGCATCCCCAAGTAGCAGCAGCCCCTGTGTGGCACAAGGTGGTGGCCCTGCACCGGCCTGCATGTGGACAAAAGCCTGTCAGTAGGGGGCGATGGTTGATGTGGCATCTCAGTTGTGGAGTTTGTAGGTCATGTTTAGAATTTGGTAAATTTTGACCCAGACGCCAGCATGCAATGGCCTACTCGTTTTTAATGACAATAGTATGTTGTACATACACTGTTAAGCAGACGGTGTGTATTTTTTTTTAAATATCTTCTTGTTAATACGATGTAACCTGATACAGTATATTTCAGTGCAGTAATAAAATTTTGTTAAAATGACTCAATAATTTATAATTAATACTTGTCTGATTGTGTTCGTACATGTATCATTTTGTCTATAAGGGTCAAACATTGAATAAGTGATGTTAGGACAAAGTGTGTGTTTTGGAAGTAACCTGTACAGATAACTCAGGTGAGACTCATTGTTCTTGTGATACAGGTCAAAGGGTATTTTATGTTTCAGGAAGCTTCTCCCTCTGGAGCAACTCATTGTCTTTGAAATAGGGAGCACACTCGGATCATTAATCAGTTACAAGGCATACCACTGAAAAGTTACACGTAGGGGAGATGCATTCTCTACAACACGAATTATAATTTTGTATTACGTGTTGACGTAGATTTTGTCTTACTAGGTCTAGAAATGCTCCTTGCTGATTAACGTCTGAATGTTCGAAACTATCGGTTGAAGCAGCCCGGCTGCTTTTGAGACGCTGTGCAACAATAAGAGTCCACAGGTGGCTTGCACTGAATCAATGATGCCCTCTCAGAAGGCTGTGCTAGATATAGTTTGTGGTAAACATTCCTTTGTTTCGTGGAGAGATCGATAAATGAAAGATGTCGTGTCTGCTGATCTGCTTCATAGCAAGGAAGTAATTTTAAGTGCACATTTGAAATTCATTTTTGGTACAGATTTGTATTCGGTTACAAGGCAGAGCACATCTAGTAGATACATTCTCCACAACAACACTCATGAGAATTTTGTATGACGTCTTATATGTTGGTGAACTAGGACAAGAAATGGTCCTTGCTGATTAACGTCTGGATGTTCACAACCAAGGGTTGAAGCAAGCCTGACCGCCTGCGGCGCCCCTCACAACCATTTACGGCCTAGGGCCAGGAAAGTCACGAAAAAAATTGCACACGAACGACGCCTCCACGCAAGCTCCCGATGCTCAGTTTTGAAGTTTTAAAATGAAACGGTTTTAATTTGATTGTTTTGAATTAGATAATTGTATTTCTTCATTAAAAGCTTATTCATTGAAAACGATATTTGGTGTGAATTTTCTCTCGTCGTTAAGTAGATGGCCTTGCCGGGGGTTCGGTTCGATGCGGACTTTCACCTGGTTGGGATCACGGGATCGAGATGAGGTGACACAGAGCTGGCCGTGCGAGAAGACCGCCGTCTGCAGATCGATTCCAACGCGATCGAACATCTGTCCCTGCGCCTCCGTCGTTCATGCAGGGGCGCGTAGGTTTGCAGCGACGGAACGTGCAGCGTTAGTCACGAAGTTGTGCGTAAGCGCCATAACAAGGCGCTGTAAGCTGACCTGCCACCACGTTCATGGGTCAACTGGGGGCAGCCGAGAGAGAGAGAGAGCGAGGTGCATAGGGGTCGACCAAAGTAAACCCCTGCCCCCACCGCCCGTGACCGGAGACTAACACCCCTGACCCCCACCCGTCCCTAAGGCCCATTAAGATAAGACCTTCCAGAAGGTTTTGGGAGGGGGGGGGGGTCAGGAGGGGAGGGTGAGCCCGACCAGGGGATAAAAGTCCGGCCCTCTGGACGGGCCGGGGCAGTGTTCACCAACTCAAGCCTGAAGACATCCGAAGACCTGAAGACTGGATCAGCACCCGTGGACCCTCAACCGAGGCTCTTGTTAGAGCCGGGTTGTAGCGGACCGAGGTGGCTCGGACACCCTGGGACCCTCCCCGAGCTCTCGCCAGAGCCGGGTTGTAGCGGACCAGAGGTGAGCTCCCGTACCCTGGCTGTGACGGGTCGTCCAGTCTTCCCTTAACGCCGGGCTAAGGGATCCGTGGGTAGCAGAGCGTCATTCATGCGAATAGAAATCCCATAACGCAGTATATGTTTGAGCTGCTGCTCCCCGGGTCTGCCTGAGCTGCTGCTCTTTGCGTCTACCTGAGCTGCTGCTCTTTGCGTCCACCTGAGCTGCTGCTCTTTGCGTCTACCTGAGCTGCTGCTCCCCGTGGCTGCCTGAGCTGCTGCTTCTTGGGCCTGCCTGAGCTGCTCCCTGGGTCTGCCTGAGCTGCTGCTTCCTGGGCCTGCCTGAGCTGCTCCCTGGGTCTGCCTGAGCTGCTGCTCCCCGTGGCTGCCTGAGCTGCTCCCTGGGTCTGTCTGAGCTGCTGCTTTCGTGGCCTGCCAAAGTTACTGCTCCACGGGTCTGTCTGTGCTGCTGCTCCCTGAGTTGCTCCATGGGTCTTCCAGAGCTGCTGCTCCCTGGCTCTACTTGAGCTGCTGCTCTCTGGGTCTACTTGAGCTGCTGCTCCCTGGGCCTGCCTGAGCTGCTGCTCCCTGGCTCTACTTGAGCTGCTGCTCCCTGGGTCTACTTGAGCTGCTGCTCCCTGGGCCTGCCTGAGCTGCTGCTCCCTGGGCCTGCCTGAGATGCTGCTCCTTGGGTCTGCCTAAATCTGCTGCTGCCTGGTTTGCTCAGAAACGCTCTCCGTTATCAAGGAGCCGAAGCTTCTGCAGGAAGCCCTCGACCGTCTTAACCCGCCCCTTGAGGTTTTTACCCTTTACCTGCTTGATCAGGTTATTGCCCTGTTCGCAAAGATGCTCCTTGAAAAAAAAGAGTGTTAGGTCACATGCACGCTAGCGTAGCGAAATAGCAAAGCACCAAGGTGTGCTTACAAACAGCAAGAATTTGAACGGCTAGTCAACTTCGTGACCTGGAGCTGAACGCCACCACAAACTCAAAAACACGGGCGAGAAGCCGTACATGTGCGACGAGTGTGGCAAGACATTACTCGCGATTGGCCTACCTGTGCGTTTTTCACTTGTGTGTTTAACTGTTGTAGATCTTTGTTATCTTAAAAATGTCAATTCTCCTGCTGTGTATCATACTACTGTCATTCCCGGCCATATCTAGTGCCACATTCAACTCTACAAACGGCTACCCTCGTTACTTTGCGTCCTTACTTGTTGCTCGATTTGCCACTACACCTGCAAATGAAACAGCTCATAGACACTTCTACACTCCATCATTGTATCCTTTTAAACCCTATCTTTGTCCCATTACTTCACCAGGACTCCTTCCAAACTTCATTCTGCTCATAAAAATAACACGATCTGCATTCTGCTGCTATTCGTCCAAGGTTCACCGCTCTTCATCCTTTCACAGAAAATACTTGTGGAAACTATTAATTCTACTTTTCTTATTTCTGGGTGGTATTGAGCTTCATCCTAGCCAAAATATAAAGAACTCGTATAATTCTGTAGATTTTTCTGGCAGGAAAGGTGTTGGTGTTCTACATGTCAACATGAGATGCCTTGTGATTAAATTAAGTCAACTAAAACTAGAAGTGGCAAATCTTGACCCGGACATTTTTTTGCCTAACAGAAACATTTCTCACTCCTGCCGTCAATGACTTGCAGATTACGATTGACAACTACAACCTTTTTCGGCTTGACCGAGGATCTAAAGGAGGTGGAATTGCCATCTATGTTCGTAATACTATTGCATGTTCACCAACTAACTCCTTGTTAAAAAAATGTTGCTTTGAAGGTTTGGCTCTCAGAATAACTCTTCCAAATAATCAACAGATATTGGTAGTGTGCTGCTATAGACCGCCTATTGGGAAGGATGTTGAAGCTGCATCTGCACTGAGAGAGCTTTTTGGGGGCCTCCCTAAAGGTGAAATAGTTTTAGTGGGTGAACTAAATTGGAATTTGCTAGACCCGCCGGCCGTGGCCACAAATTTTGCAGATAAATTTAACCTGTTTCAATTAATAAATGTCCCCACAAGACCCAACCTAAAAAATCCGGGACAGTCATCTCTGCTTGACGTCCTATTGACAAATGCCCCTCACAAATTCACACTTACTGGTGTTCTGGGTAATAACCTTAGTGATCACTCCTTCATTTTTGGTGTGAGATCATCAGCCAGACCCAAAGCCCCCCCTAAATTGGCTGAGAAGCACTCTATGATACACTTCAGCACTCAGGCATTTAATAATGATGTGCTTCACTCGGATATTGACAAGGTCTGTGATATCCCCAACCTGACAGGCTTGGGATACCTTCAGGTACAC